CGTCCAAAGGTGGCCGGAATACCATGGTTGCTGGATCACGAACAACAAGAAAGCAAACTAGTAAACAGACGACTCCTCCGACAACATGTTGTGAAGATGTCATCATCATCTACCGAATGGTCTCTCCATGGTACTTGCAAAACCATGATCTTAAGGAACTGGTAATGTTACAGTAGCCTCAACAATAATAAAGCCCATTCACAAGGGACCGATGCATAATAATACTACTTTAAAGTGTCTCTTTCACTTCATTTTCTTGGCTTTTTCTTTCTCTTCTTTCCGAATCCCAACACAACAAGTGGGATGGAGCAGTCCATGGAAAAAGTAATTTGCCTGATGCATCCAAGGCAAATCTTCTGAAATGATGACTATTCTGCGGAACTACATCTTTAACCTATGCGTTGTGCAGGAAGAAAGTACATATTAATTCATTTTAGATATATTAGTTTACTGTAGAAAATATTTGGCAACATAAATGCAATCAATACTTTCTAACTTAAACTCCGATAGGAAAGTAGTCGCAATTCTCTTATAATGCTCTTTAGGCAAGCTTGTGCATGAATAGATCAAGTAGAAGACCTCTGGCGATGATCTGGTAGGCAGCGGGTGCGTAGGAGAGGGACGGACGAGGAGGAGCTGGACTAGGAGACGGGGAAGGGATGAGTCAGCAACATTGAGGTTTGTGGCATGGGGGATCATGGCGTGGCTGACGCTTAAGAGGTCTGCGACAGAGGGGAGGAACTCGGGTTTTGGCTCATGGGCGGTGTTTGATCGAGGAAGAAGGAAAGCTAAGAGCAAAGACGAGAGAGGAGAGAGGCGAGAGGAGAGAGGAAGAGGAGAAGAGAAGGTCGAGAATGGAGAGTGGGCTCCTCTGTTGGTGCTTTGGGATGTGAGTGATAGAAAAGAAGCGGAGCATAGGAGCAAGAAGAAGTTTGAGTTCGTGGATGACTTTATTAGAAAAAAGAATAAGAAATTATGGAAGAAGCTTAACATATTTTTCTCCTATTTATACAAGTTAGGAGGGAGGATTTTTCCCAACAGATTAGAGAATTAGCGCACAGATAGGTAGCTCCAACATTGTCACAATATATTGACTCAATTGAGTTCTGCAATAGCGATGATATGATATTCAGTTTCAGTTATAGACAGTACGACTGTCTTTTGCTTCTTAGAACTTTAACTAATTGGATTAGTGTCAAGGAAGACAATATACCCCGATGTGGATATTTGATTATCAAAGTTGCCTGTCCAATCAACATTGATAAAGACATGAAGCTGAAGTAGAGAGTACTTACAAGGAAAGATATCATGATTGAGAGTCCTTTTAAGATATCGTAAGACTCGTTTGATCGTAGACCAATGCATAGCCTCTGTATAAATTATGATAATTTGTTAATTGCAAATGAGATGTCGGGACGAGTGAGAGCTAAGTACTGTAGGAAACAAACGACTTGCCAGTATTGAGTGGGTTCCGTAGTAGAACTTCCATTAGATAATTTGATAGAGCCCATAGCAGATAGAGGAGTTGTAATCATATTTACGTCTTTGTTTTAGATAATAAATCTTGAATGTACTTTCTTTGTGACAGAAAGAGATTGGAAGATGTGAATGTAGCCTATACATCTAGAAAGTAGTTCAGGAGTTCTAGATCTTTGAGTGAGAATCGATATTATGTGTTATTTTGAATTTGATATTGTAAGCATATGAATATGTAACTAAACTTATTGAAGATTAATGCAATTTGATATTATGTGTGTTTGTTTATTTAATTGTATTACTTGAAGGGTATAAATATGTGATTAATGCAATATTCATTCCGAATCATGATTTAGACACATGAAAAAAAAAAAATCTAGATTTTACAAAGAGAGATATTTTTAATTATAAACTATTTGATGGATATTTTTGCTAGTGATAAGTGGTTCAGAATTCCAACAATAAAAGGAAATATGCTACCGCACAAGTCTCTCTCTTCACTCTCCAAAAACCTTTCATTTCGGGACTCATTTTAGGTTACCGTAAGAAGAATCTTATTGAAGAACATGGTGTTGAGGTCCAACTCCAATTCGAGGATCATGGAGTAATTCTCACAGTCGGAGGCCAACAATTGATTTCTAGATCACAACATGATGTACAAGTTATTTATTTAAACTTAAACCTTACATTCTAATGAGATAATTTATGAGATTGTAGTGTTGTACCGTTTTGACCTTTTTTTATAATTTTTTATGAGTGGAAGTGTGGATCACATGTGTATAATCACGTGGACAAAGGTGTTCAAAGTGATAAGTTGAATTATGATGATAAAACATGCACTTCAAATGGTTGAGTACAATGTTTTATTTATATATGTGGGAAGGAAGGATTTTCTTCAATTGTCCAACGAGATTTTCTCATATAGTTGAGAAAATCTTATTTGCTATTATGTTTTCGTAAGATTAAACTATACTTTGGATCAGTGCTGCAAGATTCTTGTACATAATTTTATTATATTAGTTCTTTTCTTTAGTGTGAAACTATTAATGTGATTTTAACTTGAATTGTGAAGCCAACCTAGATTGTATTCGAGTCCATCGCAAACCTTGTGTTGAGGTACCTATAGGATTCGACGATGAATCCTATGAAACTAGGCTAAGTGCATACTCAACAATAGTCTTTTCAATACCTATGTTGATAATAGTGAAGAGTATATATTTTTTTAATCAAAGATTTAGGTGAGCCAATATAGCTTATGTCTTTTATATAGTTAGCTTTAGTAACTAATATAGATAATCCTAGCATTCCTCAGCTCCTCCCGTCATATAGGTAATACGTAAGTAAAAGCTTGGGAACCATCTACACTCTATGGTCGTCAGTAGGAGGTCACATCACTTGTCATGGCTTCTCAAAATAGGCTTGTGAAATCCACTCTTCACTGATCCCATAGTTGAAAAAGAAAATCTAACTCCGCATTAATGATCGACTGCATGACCCGACCTCATCTGCATTCCCTTCCAAACGAATGATGAAGGAATCATGCTTTGCCTGACCCAAAGAGGCAAGGAAGTTAGATCGGAGGTATCATCCTGATAGTCCCCAAGCACTATCCTTAGGGGCACATGTCAGCAAGTCACCCGCATTAAATGCCTCCTTCATGTAGGATAAAAGGAGCCTTGACAGAGATCCGTCTACTCCACCTAATGCCTGAGTATAAAAGCTAAGCCCCAAGCTAAGCCGAGGCAAGCAAGCAAATTTTTTTTTTTATTCTCTTATTTACACTACTGATTCTATTGTCTTCATCTCTCTTCTTTTTTCGGACTTAAGTATCGAAGAGGTCAACCCATAACACCCACAGCGTGGAGCTGTTATGCATGATTATTGATGCAGCCCAAAGGCACAATCAGGAGGCTACCTAGCAAAAGAGATCGCCAAGATTCCCTACTAAGCTTTATCGCTCGAAGACCGAGTCGTTCTTAGTGAACTATCTCTCTCTATAAATTCATTCGCTCTTTCCGCATTGTTTGCTCTCGATGTCTAGTGAATGAATTAGATTGACTCATTAATCATCAGTTTCTGTATGTTAACAATAACCATCGCTACCTAATGAGAAGTTATTCCACGTCACCACCAGGTGTTACGTGAACATGAGAAATCACCTAAAGTAGCATGCATCGTGGTTTATAACGTGACTCATTCATCCAATGTGTTAGTCAAAAAAAAGTATTTATATGGGTATCGGGTTAATAGTGATATCACATTTAAAGTGTCGAAATGTCAAATTTCTCATATCATCTGACAACTCTTAGGTACACAAAGAAACCGCTTGAAAAATACAATAGTATATTAAATATTAATATCCATATTTTTTTAAAATTAAATATAGGAACAAATTAATGGGGGCAATATAAGCACCTAAATTTTTATTCTTATTTCTCAATTCAGAAAATTCCATCATTAACACATTGTTGTACTCGCATGACTTGCTACCCAATAAGTGTATCTAACATAAAAGTTATTTTGCAGCCACTAAGACTATTTCCCATATTAAATGAATAAATAAAGAATAATATAATTATTTTAATTAAAATATTAAAATAAAAAAAATAAGTTTATACCTTGATCGACATCCACCCTGTTCTCCTATTTAAATAAGAAAGACTCCTCGTTTATTTTAGTGATGATCGGGAAGAATCGAATGATATGAAGTATCATGAGAGAAGAAGGTGGTATCATGACCCTTGGTGAGTTCTCCATCATTTCTTTTAGTTTATTCGATATTTTTTTTTGAATTTTAGATATTAAATTAAAATTTTATTTTCAAAAATCAAGATGCATGATATATATTTTAGAATTTACAATGTTATTAAATTATCTTGAATGAATTACAAATAACAAATTTTCTAAGAATCATGCCTAAGTTAGATTATTTTTTAAGAGTGATTTTTTTTCTCAAAATATGACAAATATTTAATTAATTTTATAATGTTCATGTTTTCTTATATTTAATTTAATTGATTTTTGTTATTGATTTAATTATTTTAAATTTTGAATCATGATTTGTAAGCTATAATTAACGAACTTCATGAAGTACATGTCAAATTATTTTTTAAAAATTGATTTAATTACGTATTGAATAAATTATTTACTGTTTATGTTTCCTTAGACTAAACTAAAATACTTATTATTGTTGATTTAATTCTTTTTACATATAATAAATTAGACTAAACCCATATCGAGTCGGCCCAATGTACGATTGTCCTATCTGATCGAATTAAATCAAGTCGGTTTGATCAGTTCAAGTCGGTCCTAAGTGATTAGTTATATCTAGCTTAAACAAATTTAGAGTGTTTTTGGATCGATTGAATTGATTTAAGCTGGTTTAAAACAATTTCAAACCAATCAATTTGATTTGAACTTGGTTCAGTATAATTTCTACATGAAGTGAAAAATTAGAGAAGGAGATGAGAAGGGTTTCTGTTTGTTGTGATTGAGCTCTTGTTTCTTTGTTGTTTCCAGGTGACATGTGGTTTTCATTCTGCGTTGCGTTGCTCTTACCGACAGCGCTCCACCGCATTGTTTTGGTTGTTGACGACTTGTGGAAGCCCATCGTTTGGATATCCCACGCGCTCGGCCTCGACAAACTCTTCGACATAATCGGTGTCACCATAGTCATAGGCATCGTCGACCTCTTCGGCATCGTCGACCCCTGGCCTGACCATAGCATCGCAGATGATAGCTATGGTAACGGCCAGCAGCTACAGGCGACATCAGCGACGCTAGAAATGGAGGAGGCGCTTCTCGTGATGCGGTACGAGGAACTATCGGGAATAGTCCGGTACGCCGATGACGATTGCACCGTGTGCCTGTGCAAGTTCGAGCACGGGGACGAAGTGCGACTGCTAACCAACTGCCGCCACGTCTACCACCGCCAGTGCCTTGACAAGTGGGTGGAGCTTCGCCGACGAACCTGTCCGCTTTGCCGGACTCCACTTATCCCAGTGGAGAAGCGAGACGTCGTGGACTACCATGATAGGGCGGGCTTCCAATGACTCCTGTAACGAAAATTGCCTTCGTGTTATCGTCGTTGACGCCGAGTCTAACATTTGACACTGTCTATCGATCCCTCTCTTCTTCTTAGGCAGCTTCGAGAAGTCGTAAAGTAATTTGGTGTATTGTCCGTATAGAAGTCATCCATGGTTTGATAAAATAGACGCAAAACAAAATTGATGGTTGGTTTCAGAGACTTAAACGATGACATTGTTTTGATAATTGGTTCCTTGAGCACGAAAAAGGAGTATGAATAGTCTCACATTACTACGATTAAAGAGTATATCACATGTCTTAGGTTTGTTCAAGAACTTAACCCAACTCCTATTCATGATGCTTATTTCACTAAATAAAATTAAATGTTTGAAAAGATACCTCATTAATCACATAATAAATGCACCAACCGAAAATATTATTTTTATCATTATTTATTTTATTTTATTTATTTGAAGATAATTTTTGTGCTTTTATGAGGATTATTAAAGTATTATGTGAAATATCAAAATTACTAAATTACCCTTCTCATTTGTTAAAAAATTCTTATATGTCTCCCCCACTGTATTGTCACAAATAAAGCGGTAAACATAGTTCTTGATCTAATACTCATATATGTCCGTATTTTTTTTATTTTATTTATGGTTTGCATATCATGAGGGCTTGATAACCCTATTTTGATTGATTTTTATGATTGTTTCATACTTATAAACATATGTTGTGTGCAATTGTCACACAGAAGTAAAACTGTCCAGAAGTAAGCTCTCTAGGCAGTCATTTGAACCTGGTTTTGGATGATTTTAAACTGGTTCAAGCCAATTATAACCCAATTAATTTGATTTGAACCTGGCTTTGTATGTTTTCTACGTGAAATTTGATCGGCTCAAGTAACTTTAGAGCCATGATCATAGATCTTGAAGAGAGAAGGAGAGGATAAGCGTTTCTGTCTGGAATGATTGATTCATCTTCATGAGTTGTTCTTACCATCAACGCACCTTGCATTGCTTTGTTCCTTGACGAGAGTCCATCGTCCGGGCATTCGCCCTGCTCGCTGAACTCTTCAGCGAGATCGTTTCCTGTGCTGACAACAAGAAGTTTAGAAAGAGAGTTCAGATCTTCTTTCAAGTCTCACTCGCCCACTTTCGTTGTGTTAATGGTCTCCAATCGATCAAAGGTAGACAAAGGCTTGAACTTTATTGAAACCTCTGTTGCCATTACATGCTTACTTTGCTACATCTGAACTTGTAAACTCCTTCAAGACGAACCTTGGGAAACTTTGATCTTACGGGCGTCGTTAAACCTGCAAACGAAAGTTTTTGTCGAGCTTTGTCACCATTAGCGAAGCAGACAAAGAATGATGGTTAACAAATCAATTAACGAAGATGAGGATGCGGCTGCAGTTGATGGCCGTCCACAGCGCAGAAGCAATGGAGTTTATTGCAACCGTGGCTATAACAGAGCAGAGGCAAAACCGCAGCCTCCTTGTCACTCGATCGGACTTTTACAGGAGGAAAGCTAGAAATAGACAGAGTCTTCGTGATACTCTGTTTGATCCCTGTGGACTCTGCTCCTGTTTGCTGCTTCATGATAGCAGCCCACCAACGTACATAAATGTACACTGGATCAACGAACGAATCTCTAAAGGAGTTTTCTCGTGGGGAGACAAGCCAGCTAAGGGATGCCATGGTTCAGCAATGATTCTGTCTATAAACATTCGAGATTTGAGCCCCTCCATGAAGAAAAGAATCAAGGATGGACTGGTTTGGTGACTACTACTATCTGGCCTGTGTGAGCTCGTGCGGGAAGCCGAAGCAGTGGACACGAAATGCTAGAGCTGCGCTGTGATGGTGGGAGGTTTTGGAGCCATGTTTCGATGCATCGGTTGGCATCTATCGCACATGCACATGCAAGCTTTCGGCAACTATATGCACATACAAATTGCCCACTTGCTCCACGCTAAAGTCTAAGAACATGGCTAATCGATGGCTCCACTTGCTCCAACGCTTACTCTTTATCATTCGAAGGAAAGCATCATCTTCCAAGCTCATTTATGAGACCACAGCCCCAGAGCGTGAGAGGATTGTCTTCACCAGGTCATCAAGCCAGCAAGCCATGTGCATATAGCTGCCGAAAGCTTCCACAAAGGGAGACGCCAACTGATGCATTAACATATCCAATACCTTCATACCATCAACATATCCAGGTTCGTCTGCCCGCACGAGCTCAAATGGCATAGACTAATTAGGGAACCAATTCCTGCTTTATTCTTTTCTTCATCGAGGAGCTACCATGACTGACTTTAGGTCATGTCTTGTTTGTTTATAGACAGAATCTTTGGTAAATCACGTACCTTTAGCAGGCTTGTCTCTCCGCCAGAAAATTCCTGTTGAGGTTCCTCCATTGATCCAGAAAACACTATAAATAGACCACATGTGGAATCCGCAAACTGGAACGAAGTCCAAAAGGATCGCACAAAGTTTCAGAAGTCCATCTGCTTACCTCCTGTAGAAGTCCACATGAGGAATAAGTCTGCTGCTGTCTTGGTCTCTGCTCTCGCCAATGGCGGGAGATCAGATGGGAGAAGGCCTATACCAAAGCGGGGGCAGATCAAGTCTCGAATAGCCACGACCGCGATGAACTCCGTCGCGTCTGCGCTGTGGAGGGTCATCCACAGCAGCCGCATCCTCCTCGGCAATCCATTTTGAAGCAGAATCAGGAGTTTAGCCGGTATGACGAGTGTCAATCTCATAGCATCGATGCAGATGGAAGCTCGGAGTTCGTTTTGTTCATGTAAAAATGTTAGGAATCCTTAGAAGCGTAAATCCCCATGGCGTGAATAAATATCAGTGTATTTGAGGAAATCTTTGGTTAGTGGAATAGATTTAGTGCTTCTGTAGCAAATGTTGTTGTTTCATCAGCCACATTTAGAAATTATGTGGTGATGAACAACAAAGAGTTCCTCTTTGACAGGAGCTGCAGTTTCTACCACTGTTTGAGAGACAATGCTGGAGCTGCTCATCGGTAATTCATCATATTTCACATGCGCATTGCACTCCGAGAAGCAATAATAGAACTAATTCTGCATAGGCATTGAATGGGAATTTACAGACCAGAACTTATTCCTCACAAACTCCATTCAATCACACAACAGTGTCAGATTAACTGAAAGATGGTAACCTAGGCATAAAGTCCATTATAATTCAAGGGATTAACGATGAATTGGGTAAAACCAACCTTTAAGTAAAAAGTTTAAAGATTTTTTCGGAGTTTTGACAAGTTCCCAAAACCATCTCCCCCCCTTTTGACGACCTTCAAAGACCTGATGATTACACTTAAGACTTCTGATGTTTTAAACACATTGATAAAGAACAACATCACTCATATGTTTAATCAACTGATACTGCTACTTAAACTACAAGAAGCCTCATGCCATTATTCATTTTATCATCAGAGTCTGTAAGATATTTGGGGAGCCTTTGATTCTTCCATTTTTCATAGTATACCAATATTTGGAAATATGCAGTTCAAATGCGCAGCTATAAACTAAACATACCAGCGAGCAAATGCCCAACAAGTTCATTTCTTTGTCCATTCTACAAGTTCAAGCATCGACACTACACATGACGATGTGAGATGGTATCTCTCTAATCATCCCCATTACTGCTTAACATCTCCAGGAATGAGAGAACAACCAAAGGGCCAAGAACAGGTGGAAGCCGTGGCTTGTTGAATGCCACAAGTGGTTCAACCTTTTCGTTCATTACGCGATATAATCCACCAAGCTCCTCATTTTCTTGCTTATTTGGCACAGATATGGTCATCGTTCCTGCTCGCAAGATGTCTCTAGTTTATAAAAGCATGTAAAAATGGAAAAGAAGAATGAACATAAAGTATTTAAAAGAACAGGATGCAATTACTCCATGTTCCCTTCATGGGATAGATTCGCCTGAGAATACATTTAACTGGTAGTTCAGTGACAACCCTCATTTAGGTTTTGGACCTTTTGGCTATTTGCAGTGTTGCAAGTAATCCTGCAAAAGAAAGTTCATTGGCTATCCTTGCGAGGCATGACAGAAAACAATATACTAAAGCCTGATAATTCTTCACATGGAAAATGAAAGTGAAAAAGAAAACAATTTCCCTAAGAAAGAATAGTGTATCATAAAATATGCTTCTAACAGGCTGCTTCAATAAGATATTTTGCAAGAAAAAGGAAGAGAAAAGGAAAAAAAAAAGGCTCTGCCTCTAGTTCTAATTCTCAGAGAATTGGTACCTTAGAGAAGTCAGATGGTGAGTATTGGTAATTTACAGCCAATTGCTGCTTAGGATTGGTACAAACACCCAGCTTACCACAATATACATGGATTTTTAGAGCTCTTTACCAAGGATGCACATGGATTTTCGTCGAGCAACCAATAACGTGCAAAAATTAATGCTCCCTTTCTTGTTTACAGAAACTTCAGCCAAATCCTACCCAAATGTAATTAATCATAATCCATCTTTCACCTATCACTTGCTGATGATTCTGTGTTGTTGTTTTAACATGATAGGGCCTTATGATCACATCAAGACACACATAATCCCTAATTTGGAAAAGAACAAACGAGACAAACTATCTAGTAGTACAATCTCGCAACCTATCATTTGGGAATACTGCTAAAGATTGATCAGCAACATGTTCAAGTAATCGCTTAGTTAGTTGACAGGAAAAGGATTCAACCAAAATCTTATACATGGTCCTTCCGAATGCAACTTCCTCATTCCAAATGCTCGTTAACTTTCTGCCGATGACCACTAGTTGGCAATACACCTAAAGGGGCACCTCGATTGCCGTAAGAGCAGGAACGCAGCAATCCCTTCTGACCTTCATATCGGTAAGCATCGAACGTTTATTGACTCCCAACAACGCTACTTATCTCTATCGTGTCAATGTCTACAAGACTGCAAGATCTAAATGTTTTCAAGGTAAAGAACAAAAGCAAAAGAAGAGCTTACCGGATCGAAGAGGCAATTCGGCTTTCAAAGGAGACGGAAGAGGAAGAAGACGAGGTGGCTGATAAACCGTCAATCGTGGAGGAGACTTGAAAGCTCCCGAAACTTCCGGATTCGTTTGAAGGCTCACTGGACCGGGCTATGGAGCAATAATAGGACGATCAGGCCGGGTCGGGCCAAGCCGGGGCGGTGGATCGTGTCGACCCGGCACTTGGCGAAGCCAAGGCTCTCAAGTCGCTGGCTTGTTAAGCTGTGCTGAACCTACACCAATCAACTTGCTGGACGCAACCGAACCCGCACTGTAGACTCGAGGTCGCACCGAACCGAGCCACGACTTGGGTTAGGTCTAAACTCGGAACAATGCGAGCTACAAGCGGTAGACTGGCTAGGCCTGCATAGGTCCAACGAACGGTCTAACTTGGCTCAGACCTAAGTCTATTCAATTTCAAATTCAACTTAAACATTTAGAATAATTTAATTAAAAATAAAAAATAATTAGTAACATCACAAAACCATTTTTCATAAATTAAACATCAATAACTAGTATTTTTAAATTTAAAATTTTAACGTATTATAAGTTAGAGAAAATATATCATAATAGATATATAATCAATAAGATAGATTGAAAAATATTGTTATGAATTAAAAATATTAATATAGTCAATACTTCCAAATTAATAAATATAATTACTCAAAAAATTTAGAATAAATAAATAAAGTTCTAGAATATGTGAAAAACTTAGAAGACGGATATATCAAAATATAATTAAAAAATCATTAGAATCAAAATGATAATAACAATTAATCTGGATTTTCATGGAATAAATCTAAATACCACAACAAATAATTCTAAAAATTATAGAATGATTTCTAAAAGTTATAAGCTTTTAATTATAAAAATATGAATTTATATTATAATAAAAAATAAAGAATCGGAGAACCTGACGATTGCCTCACATCTCTTCAGTAGGATCCAAGTCTTGCTCTGAAAGGCTCTGCCAACGGAGGAGTCTTAATAGATTTAAGACTCATAATTTGAAAAAATAATCTTTAATTAATTAAATAATATTTAATTTCTTAACTTAGTTATTTTAGGTTTAAAACTCTTTTTTAATCATCCTATCATCAAATTCAATTAAATAAATTAAAATATTTTATTTGAGATAAAATAAATTTCTTAATTTTTAATTAATTTTAAAATTACTCCTATTTTAAGATTTTTAATGACTACACTTCCTCACCATCCCGTGCGGCCGTCACGATGGGCCGGTTCGATTTCTCCTCTCTCTTTCCTCTTCGGTCAACTCGGAAAGGAGGCATTCACCACCATTATCATCATCCCGACCGCCTCCGCAGCCGCCATGGCTGCGGTTTCGGCGCTCTGCTGCGACTGAAGTGGTTGGTCAGCGGAGTGAAGGGCAGCAGGCCGCGGCTCCGAGTAGCTGCCGATATCTTGCCTAACACAATAGCAACGCCGGTATTGTGACCGGAGATGTTTGAGGAAATCCTCCTTTTCGGTCTTCTTGATAATAATAAAAGATCGAATTTCCTCTAATCAGCAATCATCACAAATAGGACGGAGAGCAAACCTGTCACTCAAATCTATGCCAAACCTACGAAGAATACGACAAATACTCGTCCTTGATGGATGTACTCTTTGGCACCACCAAGGAAAAGGATGTCTTGGGCCATACGAAGTAGCAAGCAAGCAGGCATCACATGTGCCAAAGTGGGTTGGGTTGATGCCGGAGGCGAGGATTGGGCTCGTACGCCATCGACCAACGTATGTCGCCATCAAACCCATCCTCTATGGCGGGCGACCTGACGACAAGCAAACGATCATAGCATGAGGGAAGCAGTGGCATGGGGCGGGCCACAAATCGACGCCCCACAAGACGAAAGCAGCAGCAACACCACCACCACCACAAAAAGAATCGAGTCTTTGTGTCCACTGTGAGGCGAGGGAGCGGCGCGGAACAAGTAATTAAATTGACACGAAGCCACGGAATCGGCACACGCCCTCGTTCTTCCACGCTTACGACCGCAGCCACCCGTACGGTATCAACCAGAATTCTTCTTTATGGTCCATGGTAATCCGCCGCTCGACGGTGGATCTGGAATCGGGATCGGCGCCGCCGCCGGTGGCATCTTCTCGGTTCACCACCGCCAGCAGCAGAGTAGGAACCTGGGCGTGGCGGTCCCGGGCCTCGTCGGCTACCCGGCCGTCATGTCGTCCGAGGACGCCGCCAAGAAGGTCCGCAAGCCCTACACCGTAACCAAGTCCAGGGAGAGCTGGACTGAGCAAGAGCACGACAAGTTCATCGAGGCTCTCCAGCTGTGAGTCCTCCTCTTTCTCTCTCTCGTTGGCTTCTTGCGGTTCTTTCCGTGATTTGGTTTCATGTCCCTCGATCTTTTTCTTGCTGCTATCTTGATTTGGGACATCAAATTCTCGTTTTGAAATTGGGCGGAGTGGATTAAGATCAATTATTAGATGGTTTGTTTCTTGAATCCTTCATTTGTTTCTGCTAGCGCCTAATAATATAAAAGGGAATGGAACTTTCAAGAAATGGAACATTTGGTTGTATAACACTATAATAAGATTAAGCCTCTGGCATACTCTACAACATCCAGCTGTTGGCAATCTAGGTGCATAATTCTGATGCTTCTATCGAGGAAAACGAGAGTATTCATTCCTTTTTCCTTTTCAAGTTACTAGAATCACATCTGTTTCTTCATCCTAGCACAAAGTCAGCTGTTATAATATTTATAGTGGCCGGCCAAATGCTCTCTCCAATTGAATGTCGTTATATCTATCATATTTAATGATATACGGGGACATCGCAATGAATTACAATTGAAATTACACCTACGATTGTTAATTATGGCTCCCAAGTCGAATTGGAGGGATCTAATGTGATGATGCCAGTTTCTGTTCTTTGCATCATTTATAAGGGGGTCTTAGCTAAATGAGAGCATGGGCATACTTGAAAATTTTCCAGAATAAATTTTGGTGAAAAGAAGCTTATGGAATTTTCCTTCTTTTCCTGACTTGAGTTCATTTATGATCCTCGAGTTATTCGTTTGAGGTTTTGGTTGTTAAGCTCAATCATAGCAGGTTATAGTTGGCAAACACCATTTATGGAATCCCGGATTTCCGAAATCATGGACATTGAAGTATGTGGTTCACAACCGACCTTTTTTTTGAACAATTACTCAAGTCAGGGCTAATAAATCGACCTATGTTATCTTGGAGATCTTTGTGTATGTATGTACATATGTCTGTGTTGTAAATATTAGCAAATTGTAAATGGAGGACTTTGAAAAATACCATGTTTTGAACTTAATGGTAGGTGAAGTTTTAAACATCTTGATGACTTGAATATCTGTGAAATGATTGCATTCGACACCATCAGACATGATATTTAACTGCACCGACTTCTACATGATATAACTAAATCGAGGGAAACCCACTTTGGTGGTCGTTTTCTTTCCTTTTATGGAGAAACAACTCCTACATAGTTTGCAATATGGCGTGAAGTTACTCTTTATGACTTGTCTTCTGGCTTTCTGATTGGTGCAGTTTCGATCGTGATTGGAAAAAAATAGAAGCATTCGTTGGCTCAAAGACAGTTATCCAGGTAATTTAATGGATAATATTTTTGAGGAAGTATTGCGAGTTGAGAGGTCCAAAATAATGCTACTTACGGGACAAAGTGAGGCTTGACAATGATTCTGTTAATATGCAACTTATATGCTTCAGCGTATTAGTGATTCTGTATACTTCATTTCATTGTGGGTAAGAGATGAACAATTCTCTCTTTGAATAAAATTAACTCTTGGAGGCTTGATACTTCTTTTTTCCATTATTTCTTGCTTGCTGTCTATATGTTCATGTGTGTATACTTCAATATGTTATGAGGGGATGCTATTTAAGTCTTTAAGGTGTGAAATACATTCCCAGTGACACTTGTGCCACCATGAATTAGGCAAATAAGAGCAATGTAAAATTTTATGGAATTACATGCTTAAAGAAGCATTACAATTATCTAGGAACACGAAAGAAAGGTTAAATGAATACTATATGCATTGCTCAACCAGGAAGGAATGATCTTGCAACAGACTTTTTTAAACAACAATTAGTCAGAGTTTATCTTCAGTAAGTTATAATTGATCTGTCTTGTTTATTTGGAAATGACTGTAGGAATTTACATTAAAAAAAAAGAAAGAATAAAGCTACATCAGTTTGCTCCATATCTTTCTGTTTCTCTCTTTGTTAATAATCATTAGTGTGTTTGATCTTTTTTATTTTCCATATACAACAACCCTCCCAGACCTTGTGTTGCCAGGACTCATGCATTGGCTGTAAAACTACACAGAAATTATTTATGCCCTGAATACTCGATTCATGACAATTTTTCTCTATGTTTTTATTATTCTTTCTTCAGACATAATAATAAGTGTGTTTGATCTTTTTTTTTCCATATCTTTTTCTTTAGTCCTTGTGTTGCCAGAATATCATGCATTGGCTGTAAAACTACCTGGAAATTTTTTATGCCCTGAATACTCGATTGCTGACAAATTTTCTATATGTTTTTATTATTCTTTCTTTGGACATAATAATAAGTGTGTTTGATCTTTTTTGTTCCATATCTTTTTCTAATAATTTTTCTGTCCATGACAATTTTGCTCCAGATCTTTTCTGTTTTTCTCTTTGTTAATAATCATAAGTGTGTTTGATCTTTTCTTTTTTCATATACAACAACCCTCCTGGATCTTGCGTTGCCAGAATCTCATGCATTGGCTGTAAAACTACCCAGAAATTTTTTATACTCTGAATACTTGATCCATGAAAATTTTTCTCTGTGTCTTATTTTACCTAAGGAAATTTTGTTTTTCCTTGGTATCTTCATTATATCGTTTCTGACATTTTGGGCCTACGTAAAGCATTAAACGTGACACAGATAGAGCATGCCAATAGGGAATCGATCAGTTAGCTGACAAGGCTGCTGGGCTTGGCAGGTCTTTTTTTTCCCCATTTTTTTGTGATGGGGCAGATCCCAGATCTGCTCGATACATTTTGAATGACTAAGTAATACAGTTTTCTTTGAGATTCAAAAAAAAAAAAATCCTCAAGGCTTTCTCTCCCCTATGGGTCTCCCACAAGAATCCCTTTCAAAGCATGCTCCTACATGGCAACTGTTAGGCTATTTCCTGGGAAAAATCCCCTTTCATCAGTTTTAAGTAAACCCTTTATTCAATGTTTAAAGCTCATTTTCCTTGGTCTTCTCTGCTTGTGATCCAATTTCCTTCTGCTTCTCCCAGTCTTAATAACTTAAATGAGTAATTACATCTTTGATCTGGAGAAACTTATGTTAGTTCAGCCTTAAATATTAAAAGGAGACCGCAGAATGCCGGAAATGACATTCTCTTTGATCTTGATTGACCAAAATTTGTCTCCTTAGGGATGGTGTAGACTAGAGGAAGGAGGTCAACTGTCAGAATGATAGAGTATTATTGATTGTAAAGATTAATTTTACATCAGGCCACATGCTATAAGTTTGGTTATCTGTTTAAATCAGGTATAGTGATATATTCTTTCTGTTTGCTGAACCTTGATTGTGTAACAAAATAAGTTCATTCTGAATAGGACCTTTTCGTGACCCAGAAATCATTAGTTTATTAATGTTTTCATATGATTTTCTATATTTGTGTTTAAATTGAATTAGTTTGATTTGTATCAGTCTTTTGGATTAGTCTTAAATAGTTCATTTAGAATTTTATTTGGTTCTAGTCATTGTTCTTTGGAAAATTTTGCTTCTCCGCATGCATGTTTTATGTAAGATTAAGGACTCAGGTATCCTCTTCTAGGTATATGTTGGTTTTAGGAAGTTGTTAAGTAATTTGGGAGGATATATCGAGGACCCAGGCATCCTCTTTTTTGTATATTTTAGGTTTAGGAAGTTTTTGAGTAAGATGGGGAAATAGGAGTCTTTAGTTACATATGTTTATAGGATTCGAAAGGGAAGTCTTCTTTCATTGTCATGTTAAGTCTTCAGCAAGTATTTAGAGGGTCTTTAGGCTGAAATGATGTTGATGTATGTGAATTGTTCAAAATAGTTTTTTAGCTGCATGCCTTTCTATTAATCCCTCTTCTTATTCTTCTTTGTATCTTTTTCCTATCTCGATCATCTAAACATTATTCTTTTGCTCTTTCTTTCAATTTTCCACCGCAAATTTTTTGCTAATATTTTCCTTGATACTGTCAATTAGATCAGTCCAGATATGTTGATTATGTATCTTTGTTGTAGCCTCTGGATCAATGAGACCACATCAATGTTGTAATCAAGGCTAGGTTAAATATAGAATTTGATGACTGCTTCTCTGTGTCCTCTGTTTTTGCTCCAGAATAGGTTATGTAATTAATGTGAGAAACAAAAAGCTGTATGAAAATTATAAAGATGGTTAATCTTCTTAATGTAGCCCAAACACTGTAGAGCTTGCTAGTATTTTGAGCTAATCATTTTGTCCTTGTGCCTTCATAAATTTTTGGAAAATCTATGTTGGTAGAAGTTGTGATGGATTTCTCTGTATCACAATTAGAAAAAAGTTGAGAGCTAATTATATTTATACTTGTGACAATTCAAATAAGATTATAACTTACATATGCAGATAAGGAGTCATGCACAGAAGTACTTTTTAAAGGTTCAAAAGAATGGAACTGGTGCACATGTCCCACCCCCTCGGCCCAAGCGTAAAGCAGCTCATCCATATCCACAGAAAGCCTCTAAAAATGGTTAGACACAATTGACTGAAAGTTTCTTTCATGTGGTTATGTGGATAATCCAATAGCATATTCTGAAACCTTGCAGTTCCTCTGCTAGTTCACCCAAGTACATTGCAAGCTTCATTTTTGCTTGAACAAGGCTATGGTCATGGGGCAGATTCATCTACAAAGTCTAGAAACTCCTTTGCAGGTGCAAAGTTCTCTTCCTAGGTGTACCTTCTTCATTCTGTTAGTTCATTACATCAATCAATTGTAGTTTATTCATCAGTAAGTAAAGGGATCACACTTACAGTTAATGTTTTGATGGTCTTTCAAGTTTCAACTATACATTTTAATTGAAGCTATCAATATGCAGATAATAAAAGGTCTAGAGGAGCTATTGTAGTTGATAATTGCCATTCAAATAGCACTAAAAGCCCTCGTGGATCTCAGCCAAATTATGAGGATAACGATAAAGCGAACCAAATCTCATCACATAATGGTAAGTGGCTTTCTGCATGAATTAGATAATTCTATAAAAGTATTGTTCCAGAGGTTTGATCTCATATGCTAGTGTTATATTGCAAACATAATATGACACCATTTAGTTTCTTTCTTGAAATGCTTTCTAAAGGTTCTACCCTTCACAGCTTTCAATTGTTGAAAATCTGAGCTGTCCCCACTTGGAATGGTACATAGCATGAACAAAAATTAGACAAATTTATAAAAACTATTTCTATGGTTTGCAATGGCATACATGGTATTTTCTTTTATGGAATGTAAAAGGAATATCATGGTACCCATCCCTGACATCAGACGTTATTCAGCCAACATCTTTGTATCGGAGAACTGTTCACTGATATCACATGATGTATTTCCTTGGAGGTTATTCAAGACCAGCTTTGAGTAATAGTTCATAAAGGCAAAGCCGTAAGGCTAGAACTGCCTAAGTGGACTACGTGGAGAAACTCATAGCTAAAACATACTTTTAAATTATGACATGCATATGCTTCATAGGGAAAATCCTAAATTTTAACTATATAGATTTGAAAGCTTGATTTGTTTAAATTTATCATAAACTGATGTCATGTGAAGTTGTCATACCCACTGTCTCGAAGCTTACCTAGTTTACAGTATTGGTTTGCTAGGTGCCTGTATAGGGTCTTGTGTCATTTGGAGACTGTGCTGACATGCCCTAACATGTGATTGGTTTTCACAAGTGATATAAGGCCCATGCCAGCTTGTGCCAGTCAATATGAAGCAATCTGCTCAAGGAAGATATTGTAGGACATGGAACTTTAGTTCCAACCAATATGTTCTAACTTCTAACCCACCCAAGGACCATTGTGGCACCATACATGACAGCATGATTCTTAGTGTCACACTTGCATATATTGTGGTTTGCTTCTTAGTGCGTTATCAAATAAGTTTCCTTCACATTGGATGAGTTCATTCACTCGGTGTAGACACTACAACAGCTTACATAAATGGGAGGGCCCAGCACCTTCTGGTGCAGGTTTGGGGAGCGTTAATGCATAGAGCTATAGCCTTGTAAACGTAGAGCTTGTTTTGATGCATCTGCATATTCTGCCTAATGTGGGTCTGGAGGTCTGAAAATAGATTTTTGTAACATAGTGCCAAACCCCTGTATACTGTCATCAATGTTGCAAGTTCCAACACCTGGTATTTCAAGTTCACAATGGAGTTGTTTCACTGTGTTGTATTCAGAACTTTGTTAATGTCATCATTAAAATGCTATGAATATTCAATTTCCTTTTCTTATCTGCTTCATCTTCTCTTTGTCCATATGATGATATGAACCATGGCTTTTACTTATATATATTTTTTCCATATGAAGTTATGCCAGACTTCGTTCAGATATACAACTTTTTAGGCAGCGTTTTTGATCCAAGCACAAGTTGTCATTTACAGAAGCTAAAAGAGATGGACCCTCTTGATGTTCAAACGGTATGCAACTTACAACTATCAGATTCCATCTGCTATTCCATACTTGTCTGGACAGAAGCTTCAAAGCGTGCCTAGTTATTCATGTTATGTGATTAACTTTATTATCCTAGATCAATATTGATTATGATTGTCATTAGAGTTCTTTAACTCTGAAGAGTGTGTAACAGAAATTATTGATACTTAATTTCCAATCTGAACAATAGTTCCAAAATCGTGCATATTTGGGAATCTATAATTGAGTTTTGTTAGGTAGTGTTGAAGGTTGGACTGTCTTAAGTTGATTTGGATGAAAGCCTAACCACATATGCACGTTTTAGAATGGTAAATTATTTAAGTATTCTTTTTCTGATTATTTTCCAAGGATGAATTATTGTGGGATTTCTTTTTCTTGCTTGTATGGCCACACAAGTTTGGTAGGTTCTCTTGCATCTTGGTTGTACTTATCTTTTACACAAAATATTATAACAAATAAATACAAGATAAAGATATTTATAGCAATATCTGAGATTTTGAAGGGTAACTAGGAATGACCACTTTAGTTAATAAAATTGAAGACTATTGTTGAAATTTGAAACCATGTACAAGTTATAAATCTATGTTAATTATTAATTGAAGTCAAAAGTATTCTGAGATTTTGAAAGAACTCCAAAAAGATTTAGTGCTAGGTCATCTAAATTAAGAGTTTGGTTGACTGTACAATTAAGGCCAAGTGAAATATGACACTCGTGCTTTATTTTGTGCTTATTTAAAGTTAAGTATATGAGATCATATGATTCATATCTGCTTCTCCTCAATATGTTTAGGCTGTATATACTGTGATCCATAGCATAGTTAAATGCTATCCAGCACGTGATGTTGAATAAGCAATTCTTAGTGCAAGCTTAGCCTTTAGATAGGTACATTAATTTACCTTTTAAATCCTATTAAGTTTCTTATTTGGTGAATGAACTACCATTGAAGAGAAGCAATTAAATTTTGATTATTTGGCATTCCTCTTCTCCATTAATTTTTTATCATCTTTTATCCAGTAAATGATCTCATGGTCTAAAATGTGTCACACATTGTTGTTTATGTTATTTTACCTCTGCTAAAAAGTATCGATAGTGTTGTATGTAAGCACTGCAATATTAACTCCATAAAAATTTCTGCTTTTCTTCCTCTTGCTTTGTAGTCTAATTAACTTTCTTACTGGTTTAGTAAATACTTTGCATCCTACACGATGCCATTAAATTTAGTCTCAACTTATATATGTGCTCTTTTAAGGTTTCCATGTTGTGTTATGAAATTGCTCCTTCAAATGTTTATAAATATTGTTTAAATATTTCTCTGTTGGGGAAAAGACTAACTGTTTTTATCGTTTTCTAGGTTTTACTGTTAATGAGAAATCTCTCCATCAATTTGACTAATCCTGATTTTGAAGACCATGTAAATCTCTTCTCTATGACCAGTTTTTCTGTGTTCAGAAAACTAGATCTCTTTATTTCAGTTCATACATCTGTTACTGCCATGCATATTTGGAGTATATCATTTTTATTGGGAAATCCAGCTTAGACGCCATGGCTGTGGCCATCATATCATGTGTTCACCAAAGTACCTAATCTTACATTTGAGCATTGCATGTGGCTCGTCCATGTTGCCCATGGCACAGGGTGGCAACCTGAAATGTGCTTCTTGATGGTATTCTTATATGTTCCAACCAAGAACAAAATTTTTATAAGTGCCATATATATATATATATATATATATATATATATATATATATATATATATATATATATA